TAAGACATGAGTCTGCCATCTCTTTGGTTTGCTGGCTTGTAAAACCATCCTTCTTGCTCTAGCAGCTTGTCTCTCGACCTACTGGCTGTTGCTGGCAAGCAGTTTGAGCTTTGGACTCGGCCACCCTCGAAGGACTCAGATCTCAGAAAAACCGTTATGCTCACGGTTACGGTTTATTACACTGAAAGGATATTGATGAAAACTAGCCAAGGTAAAAAGTGCTTGGTGCAGGCAGCCAGCTGTCCTCTCCCAGTGGAATTTTGCAGACAGCGTTTAATTCTTCCATCTTAGCAACAAGGTGTGACAACACACACAAAGCGTCCCAACCAGGGATGCTCACCCAAGCCTTGGTATCCACAGAGGTCACTGGGGTCAGTCATATAGCCATGGAGCACCTGTAGGACTGACCTCAGTTACCGAGCCTCCAGAGGTCAAACTAAAGTGCATGGTTCAAGGTTCTCCCAACACCCTGAGGAATTACACTGATAGCATCCAACCATCCAGATGGCTAGAAGCCCCTGCCATAATCACATTTCCGGTATGAACTATCCAGCATGGCTCAAAGCCCCCAGATAAACAAAGACACACTAACCAGCCAAGATATTCCAAGGGTTTAGAGGTTATCACTGTTTCCGCAAACATAGGTCTTGTCCCAGCCAGGGCTCCTCCAGGGAAAAGGAGCACAGGTGATGCTTGCTGAAAACCCAGAATAGTGAAGAGTCGGGACAGACGCCAGCACGTTGTCTCAGTCAGCTCAGGCTGCTGTAACAAAATACCGTAAACTGAGTGGCTTATAAGCAAGAGATCTTTATTTCTGATAGTTCTGGAGGCTGGGAAGTCAAGATCAAAATGTTGGTAGGTTTGGTGTTTGGTGAGGACTCGGAGTTGCAGATGGCCGCCATCTTTCTGTATCCTCATATGGCAAAGAGAGTCCTATGGTCTGAGTGTTAGCGTTTCTCCAGAATTCACGTGTTGAAACCTGTCCCCAGTGTGACGGTATTAGGAGGTGGATCCTTGGGGATAATTCAGTTGTGGGAGTGGAGCCCTTGTGAATAGGATTAGTGCCCTTATATAAGAGGCCCCAGAGAGCTGTCTCTCCCCTTCCACAGTATGAAGACAGCAAAAAAGTACTCTTTATGAACCAGAAGGTGAGCCCTCCACAGACACCAAATCTGCTGGCACTTTGATCATGGACTTTCCAGCCTCCAGAACTGTGAGTGATACATTTCTGTTGTTTATAACCCACCCAGTCTGTGGTATTTTGAAGTAACAGCCTAAACGGACTAAGAAAGAGTGAGCTCTCTTTCTTCCTCTTCTGATAAGGGCACTAATGCCATGATGAGGGCCCGATCCTCATGACCTCATCTAACCCTAATTACCTCCCATAGGCCTTATGTCCTAATATCACCACATTACGGGTTAGGGGTTCAACATACAAATTTTGGGGGGAACCCATCAATCCATAGCAGAGACCCAGAAGCAGGCTTTGTTGTGTTATTAACTTCCCCTGAAGACACTTCCTGGTGCTCCGGGAACAGATACTGAGTGAAATAAGTCTTAGAGGGTGGCCTCTTCCACTTGCCATCTCTCAGCCCATCTTACCCCCGCCTGAGTGTTGCAATCCCTACAAAAACCAGAGCTGGGACCCCACCAGGGACCGGGTTTCAAATCCTGCCCTCCCCACTTCCCATTATGACAGTTTAGTTCATCTTTCCCTCTCCAGTTATCTTATTTAAAAGTGATCTGGCAGGGGCATGGGGATGGGTGTGCAGAATTTAAATATACAGAGTACACGGTATGTAGATTAAAAGAGGAAAGTTCCTCGGAGGGATGCCACCACCTTCAAATGCCTCTGCTCAACTCCTGGGATTGAGCAGGGTGAATATTTTTATTCCCATTTCATAGATGAGGAGACTGATGCTAAGAAATTTTTGTTGATTTGCCTGAAGTCCTGTAACTAGTGAATAGCGGACCTTAAAATCTGAGCGCAGGACTCCCAGCTCAAGGCCAGAACCTTCCTCACCCTACTACATGGCCCATGTGAGTCAGGTAGAGACCCTCCCTGAGCAAGGCTCCCTATAGTGCCCCAGCCCCTCATGTTGGAAAGACCCTCCCCACACCCTGCTCCCTAAAGAGCCTGGTATTTGTAACAAGATCCCAAAGAGGCATCTGTTGCCCAGAGCTAGTCGGGAGACTTCCCATTTGTTGACGTCTCCCTTGAGTGCCCAGTGGGGAGGGAGGAAAGCTGGCAGCGGGTCCACCACCCTTGGGCACTTGTCCATTCTCACCATGATGCAACAGGTCACTGAGAACCACTCTCCAAATGGATTGATGTGGGGTAGGAGAGGTGAGAGAAAAGCGGCCCAAGGCCTTCATACATTCCTGATCCCCTTTCCTGGAAAGTGTGGAAGGGTTGGACCTCTCACATTCCAATTCAGCTCAGGAGGCTGAGGCTGAACTCTGTCTGATCTCTGGGTGCCCGGATTGGTCCTGCCTTTGTGAAGGCTACAGCCTGACCTGGAAATGCACCCCATGCAACAGGACCATGACAACACAGGGACATGAGATTAAATACAGAAATAAACACTGCAGGTAACAGGGACCCCAGAGGGAGTGGTCTGGAAGGCCCGGAGCAGGCAGGGATGCCTTCCAGGAGAGGTCATCCTGGGAGGATGAGAAGGGAGGAAGGACGGCGGCCTTCGAGGAAGAAGAAAGACAAGCGTAGCCCGGAAAGGCAGAGAGAAGTGTGTGGGGCTGCGCACTCTGTCCTAGACATCACAAGCCTGGAGTTTGCCCTAAGAACGCACCCCTCCCAGATGAGATCTTAACTTTCTGGGAGCCCTGAGAGCTGTCCTCCAAGGTCAGTGATGGTCAGAGTCTCAGTGTGCTGCAGTGCCAGGCGGGGCCCCTGGCTCCCTGCCCTGATGTGCCTCAGTGTTCATTATTCTCCATCCTCCCCCGGCTCCACCCTCCTGGAGTGGAGAGCATTTTACAGGACGGGTTTCAGAGACAGGAAGACAAGGGCCTGCTCGGGAGGGGACAGCGGCTTCAGATGCTGGCCTTGACATGGAAAAAGCCTGGGTGTCCCAGATGGGGGCCATCTTTTCAAGGAATTTGTCATCTCCTGGGGAACTCCAGGGTCCAGAGCACATCTGCTTCAAAGTTGGGTTCCCCATGGCATTGCCATGGCCTCTGCATTTGGCAAAGTGTCTGGTCCTAGCTAAAAACATGAAACTCACACTGGCTATTTCTAAGCAGACCCTGCAGCCTCTCCCTGCCCTGACCTGGGATAAGTGAGAAGCCACGGAGTCCACATGCTGCGGGGTCCCTTCCAGCTGGGTTAGGGAACCTCCAGTGGTGGGGTCTGTGGTTGTGGGCAGCGACTTGCTGCCTCGCCCTGCGGGAGGACTGCACTTCTCCTTCCCACTGACTTCAGGCGAGCAGGAGCAGAGGCCGTGAGAGCCACCCAGTGACTTCCCTTTCCTCCAGCGGACTGGACTCCGGCAGCCTGGTGCCCAGGAAATGCTGACCCACCGCTTGCATGTAGACAAGTAAGAAACAAGCTTTTGTGGCTATAACACGCTGAGATTTGGGAGTTTTGCTATGGCAACGTGAGTCAGAAAGAGCTGACTAATACAACCTGTGCACCCGGCGGCTTGTGTGGACAAAGATGGTGAGAGCGCCTTCTGGAAACGTCTGCAGCCGTGTGCCATCTTCTCCACAGACTCAGATCCCTGCCTTCCGAGAAAGGCGCATTGAGCAGCCCTTGTCACAACTCCAGGGAAACCGAGGACCAGTTTTGAGGGACTCAAAACTGGCTGTGCAGGCTGCGAGGGGAGACATCTTATCACTCCCAGCTCTTGCTTCCCCTCCACACACATGTGCACACCAACGCACACCCCACACACCATACACGCAAACACCACATGTACACACACATACCACCCCTACACACCACACATGCACACACATACACACATTACATACACCACCCCACACACCACATATACACACACGCCACATGTACACAAACTACACAAACCACTCCATACATGCACACATATACACACACTACACACCACCCCACATATCACACACACCACCCCCACCCCACACATGCATACACATACGTACACTACATACACCACTCCACACACTGTACTGTACACATATACCATATGTACACACACTGTACTGTACACATATACCATATGTACACACACTACACACACATGCACACATATGTGCACACTACACACACCACCCCACACACCACACACATACACCACATGCACACACACCACCCCCACCCCACACATGCACACACATACACACACTACATACACCATTTCACACACCACACACACCACATACACACACACCCCCACCCCTACACATACACACATACACACACTATACACACCAAACACATACACCACATATACACACACTACACACACCACTACACACCCCACACATGTACACTACATGTACACACATACATCCCACTCCCACACATGCACACATATACACACACCGCCTCAGACACCACACATACTACATGAACACACACTACACACAGCACCCCACACACCACACACATACACCATGCATGGACACACACACACACACACACCCCACATATACACATACCACACACCATCTCACACATCACACACACAGCACATGTACATACATACCACATTACACGCTCCCACAAATGCACACACATACACATACTACAAACACCACCCCACACACCACACACATACACCACGCATGGACACCCCCCCACACCCCCCACACCCCCACATGCATGCATATATACATACTCCACACACCACACACATACACCACATATACACACATACACACACTACACACATCTCACACACACCCTCACCACACACATCACACATACACACTCCACACTCATCACCCCACACGCCACGCACATACATCACATGTACATACATACACACATACCTCACACACTACATATATATCCCACATACCACACACATATACCATCCACCACACACAGGTGCACACACACGGAAAATATGAGGACTCCAAATGCAGCAAGAATGAACAAGCAGGAAATACACTTACTGAGACACCAACGTAGGAGGAGACATTTGATACAGAATGTCAGGATGTTAGAGTTTCCTCGTTCCAAGGATCCAAGTCCCCGGATGAGGCGTCCTGAAGCTGTGCCGGCATTTATACATCCTGTGCCGCCATTCTGTGTATATCGGGCAGCTTCTGGCCAGGTTCCCCCGAGTTAGCTCTTGATTTATTGAAACTTTTCTGTGACCATCTTGGGTGACAGGAAGAGCCACACAGCTCAAAAGCAAGGCTTATATGTAGCTAGTCCGTCAAGCCCTGCTTGGTGCCAGGTCTGCAGAAACGGTCAGGAGAACATGACCAAGACAGGAACCTCTGGGGTCTGCTGAGGTCAGAGCAAGAGCCAGGGGGTAAGAGGTCAGAACCCCCGAGGTTGCACCCATCTCATCTGTACCACCAAGGATCGGAGATAGACCAGTGGGCATCCTGGGTGTGCCCCCACCCCATGCAGCCTCACAGGCCCCGCTCTTAGAAGGGCCCCATGCTTAATGCTTGGCTGTCATCATCTTGAAATTCTTGAAATTCTTAATCATTTTGGAACCCTACGTGGAACCCTACACTGGGCCCTGCAAATAGCTGGTCTCATCCAGAGAAGGCTGAGCCAGGCCCTGGGACAGCTCATGCTGACCACAGGAAACTGACCATTTGCAGAGGGGAGGACCTGCCCAGAAAATGCAGATGGCAGCTGGCCCAGTCTCACTGCTGTCCCAGGCTGTGCTGTGATTTGGAGAGGGGCAGGTCTACCAGCTGTGGTTAATGGGGGGAACGTTGTCTTCACTGGGAACAGAAAGGGGAACTGTAAATGCAAACATGTTTTACTAGGAAGAGCTTCAGCCAGTTCTCAGCACTGTTTTCACCTGACCACACAGTGCCCTGTGTTCCCGGCTTCCTCCATACTCTGACCAGCTCTGAAAACCAAACACAGAAGAGGCTGGAGAAGGAAACGAGCGGTGTCTGGAACAGCAAAGAGGGCACAGGTGAGCTGACCCTCTGTGACTGGGCTCCAGCCTCAGACCCTGCTGCCACAAGGGACTTCCGTGCTGGTGAGATGACCCAGAGGGCTGGGGCTCCCGGGCTGCCTTCAGCTCTGCTCCTTCTCTGTGTCCCAGGTGAGCAGGGTGGGTCCTGGGTGCAGGGAGGTCTGCTCTGGCAGGTCAGGGTGAGGAGGGACAAGAAAAGGCTGGCCAGGGGCAAGTGGAAGAAATGATGTCGAGAAAGAGAGAGGAAGGTGTGCATAGAAGCTTCTCGAATCTCCTCATTGGGATAGGGTGGGGATTAAACGGTAGACTGCTTCCCACACAGTAAGCCCTAGGTAGATTTGGCAACTTTAATCCTTATTATCATCATTATTAAAATCAGAAATGCTGCCTCGATCCATCAGAGAAAAGGGAGAATAGGGGCAGAAAACCAGTACTTAGTGGGCTAATCACAGGTCTTGTTTCCCATTATCTAATTTAATTCTCTTTTTTTTTTTTTTAAGAGGGGTTTTCGCTTTTGTTACCCAGGCCGGAGTGCAATGGCGCGATCTCGGCTCACCGCAACCTTCGCCTCCTGGGTTCAGGCAATTCTCCTGCCTCAGCCTCCTGAGTAGCTGGGATTACAGGCACACACTACCATGCCCAGCTAATTTTTTGTGTTTTTAGTAGAGACGGGGTTTCACCATGTTGACCAGGATGGTCTCGATCTCTTGACCTCGTGATCCACCCGCCTCGGCCTCCCAAAGTGCTGGGATTACAGGCGTGAGCCACCGCGCCCGGCCTATCTAATTTAATTCTCATTGCAATCCTGATGAAAACAAGAGACCCAGGCTTGCTCATAGAGGTGCAAATAATTTTGATTAAACAGTTCGTAAAAGGCAGAGTCAAGGTGCAAACCTAAAAAACTTTTATTTCCAAGATCACTGCTTCTTCTGTAATTCAATGTCAATTTCCACTGTGCCTCCTTGTAAAGTTTTGCTTACATATCTGAAGGCACTGTTCCATCCCAGCGTGGGAACCCTGGCCCCAGGGCTGCTACATAATGGACCCCGGAAGGGTGAGATAGCTGGGAACCTGTGGTCAGCCCTGGTCCGAGAGTTTCCATAAATGATGATGGAAGGAAGGAGAAAGTCAGTTTCTCTGCAAGGCTGGGTAGGTGGGGAGCTTGCTGGGTGGCCGCGGGTTGGGGTGGAGATGGAAGTGGAGGGGGCTGGCTCAGGGTCAGGATCTGGACTGAATATCCGAGGGGAGGGAGGCTCCATGGTGGGATTCAGTGTGTGCCCCACACTGTTCTTCCTCCCAGACCTGTGGAATTAGCCCCAAATCATCAAGAGAGAAGTTTAAAGACCTGAAAGAGCAGCCTAACAGCGCCCCCAGAGCCTGAGCTTAGAGCAGCAGTAATTGCAGGAGAGGACTGGGTGCCGCCACCTGTTCCTTGCTCCCAGGCCTGTGCCTGGGAGGCAGTTCCTCCCTGGGACAAGGCTCCTGGCCCTCAGCACTTTGGACATTTGGGGCTGCGTTATTCTGTCCTGTGCACTGTGGGATGTTTAGCAGCATCCCTGGTCTCTACCCACCAGATACCAGCAGCAATTCCCCACTCCAAGTTGGGACAACCAAAAACATCTGTAGTCATTGCCAAATGATTCCCCTCACCCACCCAGGTGATAACCACTGCTTCAGAGAGCACACAGCATTCTAACGCAGAATAGATCAGTGGGCCCCTCGAGCCTGCTTTCTGGGAAATAAAATGAGAAAATGTGAGATAATAAAATGAAGACGCAAAAGGTAAGGTTTTTCTTTTCTTTTTTTTTTTGAGATGGAGTCTCACTCTGTCACCCAGGCTAGACTACAGTGGCAGGATCTCGGCTCACCTGCAACTTCCACCTTCTGGGTTCAAGTGATTCTCCTGCCTCAGCCTCCCAAGTAGCTGGGATTACAGGCACCCACCACCACGCCCAGCTACCTTTTTGTATTTTTAGTAGAGACATGGCTTGACCATGTTGGCCAGGCTAGTCTCGAACTCCTGACTTCCGGGGATCCATCCCCCTCAGCCTCCCAAAGTGCTGGATTACAGGCGTGAGCCACCACGCCTGGCCAGGTTTTACTTTTCATTCACAATAAAACATAGCAAAGCCTCGCCATCAGTGGATGACAACATATTACCTAGATGGATGGGTGATTGAATGAAAGAGGGATGGATGGATAGATAGAAAAATGATAGGTAGAAAGGTTACATCCATAATTCCTTTTCAGGAGCTTGGTATTTTGCCGAAACCATTTCTCAATAGTCTTTGTGCCCCGGGTTAACCACCTCCCTGCCAAGAGCAGATGAGACAGCAGCTGTTTAGGACTGGTGAGGCCCCCGAGGCAGGAAGCAGAGAGCTTCTGGGGCTGGATCCTAATCATTTGGACCTGGAACCTACAGAATGGGTGGAGGAATGAGAAGGGGACTGGAAGAGGGAGAGTAATGTTGAAATCTTGGAGGGGGCAGAAGATCTGAAGAATCCTGGGACATGCCAAGGCGGGTGGGTGCTGCAGAGAAGAGGGGGTGGGAAGGAACCTCTGATGATGTCTGACCTGGAAGGGTGAGGCAGCTGGGGACTTGTGGCCAGCCTGTCTGAGAGTTTCCGTAAATGATGGTGGAAGGAGAAAGTCTGTTTCTTTGCAAGGCTGGGTAGGTGGGGAGCTTGTTGGATGGCAGCAGGGTCGGGGTGGAGGAGGAGGGGGCTGCCCACGCTGGCTCAGGGTCAGGGTCTGGACTGAGTATAGTGTGGAGCGGAGCCCTACAGGTGTTTCTTCTCAGGACTGACACTTCTGGGACACCCAGACCTGTATGAAGCCACCAAGGTCAAGCCTCTCCTCCTGATATTCTAAGATGGCTAAGCACACCCAGGCTGGGCATGGCCTCTGGAGTCTCAGGATCCCACACCGGGCAACACACCTGGTTCCTGACTCCTCCCTCCTCCAGCCTCAGGCAACACTGTGCGTGCAGAGGACCTGACATTCCAGGTTCCACTGGTCCAGGCTTTTCCCGGTGAAGATGGGGAAACGCGCTTGTGTTTTCTAGGCTGTCTGACTGTGAGTGGCCCCAGCACCGTGATGGGCACCGTGGGGTCATCCCTGAGTGTGCAGTGTCGGTATGAAGAGAAATACAAGATGTTTAACAAATACTGGTGCCGACAACCATGCTTGCCGTTTTGGCATGAAACTGTGGAGACCACAGGATCTGAGACAGTGGTGAGGAGTGACCGAGTGATCATCACGGACCATCCTGGGGACCGCACCTTCACCGTGACCTTGGAGAACCTCACGGCAGAAGACGCAGGAAAATACCGATGTGGGATTGCGACAATACTGCAGGAAGACGGCCTGTCCGGCCTCCTGCCCGAACCCTTCTTCCAGGTTCAAGTGCTGGTTTCCTCAAGTAAGAGCCTCTTTTCTCAGGCATCTGAGGTGGTCTCTGCAGAGCAGCCATTGGATATTCTGGCTCAGGAAAAAAGAACTGGGTCTAGTGTGGTGCATCAGAGACTCAGGACGGAGTGTGTCGTGTGAATGTGTGTGGGAAATATGTGTGTGTTTGAGTGAGAGTGTGTGTTAAGTGTGTGAAGATGAGTTGTGTGTGAACATGTAAGAGTGAATGCAGGTGTGAAGGTGTGTGTGAGAGCATGTGCGTGTGAGTGTATGTGTGAAGGTGTGTGAGTGCACATGTGAGAGTGTGTGCAGGTGTAAGAGAGTTTGTGTGTGCGTGTGTGTGAGACAGAGAGCGTGCTGGAGGGCAGTGGTGGTGTGTGGCAAGGATGGGGGCTTTGGAACCTCAGTCTAACTGACCCTCGGCATGTCTGTTTTCAGCGAGATGGGAGACACCAACATGGGATAAGGTTGTCATCCTCTGGTCTTGGTTTATAAAATGCCCGCCTGGCTGCAGAGCAGAGCGTCCACTGGAACGGGGTTGGATGGGGATGCTCTATTACTCCAGTCAGGCCTCAGTCTGCCTACGGGGAGATGATCCCAGAACATCTGTCCGGCTGCCTCCTTGAGTGTCCTCTGCTTTATAAAGTCAGAACCATGCAGGCGCCAGGTACTTAGCTGGGAGGAGTCGCATAGGGCACTGAGCCTCCGTTCTTTACCCTCAGCCTCCACCACAGGCTCCGGGACTGAGAACTCTGTGAAGACATCTGGATCTCCCACTGGGCCCGGCCAATGCCAAGGGTAAGCTGCACATGTCCCAGTGTCTTTTGCCATTTGTGTAGCTTCTTTCCTAGGGTGGGGCTTCCTAGACAGGTTTCCCACTCAACAAATATTTATTTGTTATGTGCCAGAAACTGATCAAGATTCTAGAGATGCAACAGTGAACAAATGGGCAAGATTGTGCTCTTGAGGAAGTTGCAAATAGGTAGATTTAGACAATGGCCTGATGGATGGATGGATGGATAGATAGATAGATAGATAGATAGAGATATGATATGACAGATGATAGAGATGGCTGGCTGGATAGTCAGAGGGAGATAGATGGTAGATGTAATAGAGATGGATAGATAAAGGAAATATGTCAACTCACAATAATTACTAGGGAGGAAAATAAAGCAGGTGTAAAGAGATAGGGTGACAGGGTGTGTGGGAAGCCGGCAGGGCATAATTTAGGCTGTCAAGGAAATACAAGATGTTCAACGGAAACAAAAAACTAAGAGACTGTCTTAGTTTGGGATTCCCCAGAATCAGGCCCTGAGACAAGGACTTAGGAGTGATTTGTTTGTTTACTGAGAGGTGATCTCACGAAGTACACTGAGAGAGCAGGAAGTGAGACCAGGAAAGGGGAAAGTCACTGAGAGGTACCGTAATGAAGTGGTTATCACTGTCGTAACTGGCACTCAGTCCTTCTGGGCACCCTATGAGAGATTGTGTAGAATATTCCTTAGAACCGGAGACAGAATCTTCCAGGCAGAAGGCACTCCTGGGGGCATGGATTCTGTGGCCCATTTGGCTTGCTCTGCACAGGAAAATGTGTGCGCTCCTGTAGATAAACTCAAGCAGAAATGGGGAGCTTGAGCTGGGAATTCCTAGGTGGGGCCAAGACTGCCTGCAGCTGCCAGGTGCTCAAGTGGGCAAAGGGGATGTGGAGCAGGGCACCAGCAGGGTTTGTTACAGAGGCTCATCTTAGAGATGATCAGGGAGGGCGTCCAACAAGCCCTACAGGTGGAAGGCCTGGAAGGTGGAGAGACGGCACAATGGCCTGTTTTGGGGAGAGAATGCAGCATTTGAGGAGTTGGAATGGGGGCAGTGTAGTGGGACCCACGGGGTGAGGGGACTGGCTGTGGGCTGAGCTTGGATACGTCACTCCTTGGGGTTGAGGTTGTTAGGCAGTTGAAAGAGAGCACCAAAGAGCTGCTCTCGTGATCATATTTAATTTGAGCGAGGGTGGTTGTACAGGAATATTTCATCCTTGAGGTTTTGTTCCCAGCAAGAGCTGAGTTTCTGGAGGCATTGGTGGCTGAGGGATCTGTTCAGGAAGTTGTTTGTGGAGCCAGTTCCTGCCTGGGTTCCCATATCTCTCTTCTTCTCCATCCCTCACCAACCTCCTTCCTGCATCTGTTGGGTCCTGACACTCAAGGTTAGTTCTGAGCTGAAGGTCAGAAGCCTGTGACCCTCAGCATGGGACTGCCAGACCCTGGTACCCATCAGGCTTGATGCTGATGTTGGGTTTTGAGGGCACAGGACCAGATCTCAAAGAAAAGCAGGAGAGAGGTAGAGCCTGGACTTCCCGGAGGAGGTGGCTCACTGCCGGTCACTCTCTCTGTCTTACAGGTCCAGCAGCGTCTACTTCCTGCTCCTCTTACTCCTGAAGGTGCCTCTGCTCCTGAGCACACTCGGTGCCATCCTCTGGGTGAGCAGGCCTTGGAGGACTCCTTGGACAGAGCCATGGACAGGAGAACTTATAATACCCTGTGACCGTTGGTATCCTGCCTGGAGACACAACCCCTCTGACTACAGAAAGGACTTCTGACCCTGACCCTCATATTTCTTTCCATCTTATTGCCAGATACTTGTTAAAAATAAAAGTTAAAGTAAAAATGTAGGCTAGGTACGGTGGCTCACACCTGTAATCCCAGCACTTTGGGAGGCCAAGGCAGGGAGATCACTTGAGTCCAGGAGTTTGAGGCCAGACTGGGCAACATGGTAGGACCTCATCTCTACAAAAAATATAAAATTGGCCAGGCGTGGTGGTGTGTGCCTGTGGTCCCAGCTACTTGGGAGGCTGAGATAGGAGGATTGCTTAAGCCCCAGAGGTAGAGGTTCCATTGAGCCGGGATTGTACCACTGTGCTCCAGCCTGGGTGACAGAGTGAGACCCTGTCTCAAATACATAAATCTAAATAAATAAATAAATGAATATATCACATACACAAGAGTATGTATATGAGGCATCTATATAGTGCAAGCACTAAAAATAAACATGTGTACCCACCATTCAGCCTAGGAAATCAATCATTATTAAGACGTTGGAAGCCCCTATACGCCTCTCCCTGACCCCATAACTGTCTTTCCCCTACTATCAGAGTTAAACAGTATCCGGACGTTTCTTGGGGTAATTATTCCCTTGCTTTAGGGCGCTGAGCAAGGGCCTAGTTGTTTTTGAATCCTTCACGAAGGAAATCATACTGTTGCAAGTTCATCTGCTCATAAATCATATTGGATTGCTTCCTCCCCTGACAGTGGATTACAGGGAACGCCCTACAAAGCCATCCATGTGATAGCTGAGGGAGCAGCTCCAGACAGCAAGTGATATGTGGCTGCAGCTGCCCATCATGAGCTGGGTAATGGCAGAGCTTGGTTGGGTTGTTTATCTCCACTTCAGCACAGCAGTGTGTTAGGGGCTCTGAACGGTGGGTTGTTCTCTCCTGAAATGACATGCCCTCGTCTGCCCTGCACTGCTCCTATTGAGGCTTGCCAGGGGTGCCCCATGGCATTCTTATCTTCCACTGAGACGTCTAGCGCTGTGAAGTCAACTAGGTCCTATGGCCCAAATGGCAGGGACATTTTTACCTCTCCCTGGATATGTCAGGCCAGATCAAAACAGGTGGATGTTGAAGTCACCTATGAGTCCAAGCAGTATTCAGTATTCCCAGGAGTTTCAAAGAGGCCTGTTAAGCACCATGCTTTTTGCTTAGAGGCTTGAAATGCAAAACAAAAGAACGCAGAGCATGGACTCCTAAAGATGGCACGTATGGGCTGGACCCCTGAAACTCTCTAGGTTTCAGCTCCCTCCTTCTGGTGCAGATGTGTCCTACCAGAGCACCTAAAGCACTGGCTTCTTCCTGCTCTTCCAGCATCCATAAGATAGAGCAGCATGACATTCTATGGAGTGCCTAATCAAAGTTCCTTTGAACTATGTTGTGACAGAGCAGAAGACTTGACAGAATTCTGGATCGATTAGAAATGTGTACATTACTCTTCTCAAGTGAATAGGAAGCACTTCTCCTCTTCCTTCTTTAAGGGGATGGAAAAGAATGCATCTCCTGCATCCAAGAGCAGCATACCAAGTGCCAGAGACTGTGTTCATGAAGATAGTACATCAAGAAAAACAACTGTGATTGGACCATCAACTGGTTCAGTTTAAGCTGGTTTACTGTTATATGATGGGACCTCTCTGATTTTTTCAGAGACCAGATAAATGTATTGAGGACATGTTTTAAAATGTACCTGAGGCTGGGTGTGATGGCTCACATCTGTAATGCCAGCACTTTACCAGGCTGAGACAGGAAGATTGCTTGAGCTCAGAGTTCAAGACCAGCCTGGGCAACATAGTAAGACCTCATGCCTACTTAAAAAAAAAATTAGCCAGGCCGGGTGCGGTGGCTCAAGCCTGTAATCCCAGCACTTTGGGAGGCCGAGGCGGGTGGATCACAAGGTCAAGAGATCGAGACCATCCTGGTCAACATGGTGAAACCCCATCTCTACTAAAAAATACAAAACATTAGCTGGGCATGGTGGTGCGTGCCTGTAATCCCAGCTACTCAGGAGGCTGAGGCAGGAGAATTGCCTGAACCCAGGAGGCGGAGGTTGCGGTGAGCCGAGATCGCGCCATTGCACTCCAGCCTGGGTAACAAGAGCGAAACTCCATCTCAAAAAAAAAAAATAAATAAAAATTAGCCAGGCATGGTGGCACGCACCTGTAGTCCCAGCCTCTCAGAGGCTGAGGCAGGAGGAACACTTAAGCCTGGGAAATGGAGGCTGTAGTGATCTATGATCATACCACTGCCCTCTGGCCTGGGTGACAGAGTGAGACCCTGTCTCAGAACAAAACAAAGAAATGGACTTGGATTTGTTTTAATGAGATATGGTAAGGCATGCAGATATGGAAATGACTGTCATGAAGAAATGCGTTTCTACTCACAGATCCCTAGAAGCAGGAGGTGCGCTGTGCCACATAGGGCCACACGGGGAAGCACGAGGGTGGGTGAGGGGGCAGAGGGAGAGAGAGGAAATGTGGGTGGGAGCCTTGATTGTGGTTTTCAGAGGAAGCAACAGGCAAGGTAAGGTAAGCAAACAGCAGGTTTTGGAGTGCGTAGTTTGAATAATTCTGATGGGCTGGGATACAGGAGTGGTGCCTAGTTGTCTGGTACCTGGCCCTGGGGTGATTTCTGGCAGGGGAAAGAAATATCCCAGCCTGGAGGAGCCTGCTGAAAGGAAGCAGGTGGGGGCATGGAATTGGAGTGTGGGCAGACCTGGGCCCCCGTCTGCGGGGAAGGCCTGTCCCCCATGGCTGCTCCCTGGGGAGGTGCCTGGCCGTCACAGTGGACCCAGGACAGATACCAGAAGCTGCTGCTCATGACGAGCTGTCCTCTTGGGCACCAACCGCCCTCCGTGCGCCCTGGGGTGTGTGCTGGCTGCAGCCTCCATCATCCCTGCCCTGCGTGCGCCCTGGGGCGTGTGCTGGCTCAGGCGCAGCCTCCATCATCCCCACAGTCCCAGCCTGCGTCTTCATGCCTCTAGACTCTCGTGCTCTCGATTCTCTGCCCTGATCCTCACTGGGGTGTGGATTTCAGCAAGAATACAAGATGGAAAAGTAGGGTCTCAGGTGGGTGGTGCTGCTCTGCGTCTAGGTCTGGGGGCAGAGGCACAAGAAGAAAACTCCCCAGGCCTGTAGGATTAGAACCTGGCTGGGGACTCAGCACCTAAAAGGGCCATGCAGATGCTGTCTGGCTTCATTATGCTAACTTCTGAGGCCAGAAGACGAGCTGGGGGTCTTAGGGGCAGAGCTCTCTGCAGGGACCTAGCTGAAGATTAAGAGTCACCTCTAAGGCTAAAGAGGTGGCAGATTGAGCCTCCCACCACAGGACTGTCCATCCTGACGTAGAAGTGACATGTCACAGAGGGTGGAGCAGCCGCTGTGGTAGGAAATGTCCCAGCTTGGCTCTGCCTTCTGGGGTGTGAGTAACACACTGAAACCAGAAGCTGTGGGCTGTGCGGAAGTGGATGCATTCCCACCCAAGGGATCCTGGACTTTGCCAGACTTTGGGGTTGAGGGGAGCCACTAGCACCATCCCAGAGCTGTCAGCCCCAGCCTCAGCCCTGGCGGCTCTCCCCCTGACCTTCCTGCACACTGATGCTCTCCAACCTCAGACCTGAGACAGGGCTGGACAAGGAAGCTGAGAGCAGGAGAAAAGCAGAAGCGAAGCTCAGATCTGCTGGGAGGAGGCTCCACGTTGTCCCCTGCTGGGGTCTTGCACAGCTGCAGGTGACATCCACGCTGCAGGAATGACGGCCAGGGCCTGGGCCTCGTGGTGGCCTTCAGCTCTGCTCCTCCTCCTTGTCCCAGGTGAGTGGGCTGGCCCTGGACTCCGGGAGATCTGTTCTGAGTGGGAGAGGGCAGGGCGGGGTGCAGGCGGCGGAGGAGCAGCCATAGAGGGGAGTGGGGACGGGGAGAAGGGAAGAGGGCGGAGGAGCATCCAGGAGCTGTCTGCAGCTTCCTCACCAGGGGACAGCAGGCTGCAAGGCACAGCGCGGGGGAGGCCTGTTCCTCTGTGCCCAAGACAGGAAGCCCCAGGTGGGAGGTGATGCTGTGACTGTCACTGCCAAAGTTCTCCACAAATTTAATCCGGGACGATCACACACAATATCACACTCATATGCACACACAGGCCTGCACACACCCAGAGCCTTCCCAGCCTGCCCTTTCCAGTCTCCATGAAAACTCCCCATGCCCTTCCCACCTCTGCATAGAGGAAGCCTCTCACACTTAGTCCTCGCTCCTGAGTGGACAAGGCCTGCCTGCCTGCCACTGCCTCCTCCACACCACCGGGTTCCATGAGGCCCTGACCCCGGGGCACCCCTGGCCAGGCCCATCTGAGGAGGAGCCTGGACTCGGGCTTGTGTTTTCCAGGCTGTTTTGCTCTGAGCGGCCCCCGCACCATGGCGGGCCCCCTGGGGGGATCCCTGAGCGTGCAGTGTGGGTATGAGGAGGAACACAGGACTCTCAACAAATACTGGTGCAGAGTACGGTGGACTATTGGATGTGCCAAGATTGTGGAGACCAAAGGGTCAGCAGGAAAACTGAGGAACGGCCGAGTGTCCATCAGGGACCGTCCTGCAAACCTCAGCTTCACAGTGACCCTGGAGAATCTTACAGAGGACGACGCAGGCGCATACTGGTGTGGGGTAGATTCACCATTGCTCCAAGACTTTCACGATCCCTTCATCCAGGTCGAGGTGTCCGTATTCCCAGGTGAGCCCCTCCTGTTCTCAGCACCAGGCCTGCCTGAGTCTAGGGCTGCTCATTCTGTCCCTGAAGAAAGAAGTGGGACAGGAGTGTGTGAGGCTGGGGGTCAGTGACTCAGGACACTGTGTGTGCCGCTTGTGTGGATGAGTGTGTGTGTCTTTGTGTGTGGGTACATGCCTAGGAGTGTGGTGTGGTTTTTGTGTGTGTGCACCTGCATGTGTGTGTTGCAGGGGACACTGGCCCTGAGGTTGGAGACCCCTCTGTGAGCCTTCCCTGACAGCCTTAGGCCTGACCTTTTCCTGGGTGGGGTCTGGGGCTTCCCCTGACTCTGGGGTCTTTGCTGCCTCCCTGTCCTGACAAGGGCCAGGTCCACACTCAAGGGAACCCACTGTCCTGCCTGGGTCTGACTCGCTCCCCACCATGGGGAACGGGACCCCCAGATCATTGGCTCCCCTCACTCCAGGCTGCCCCTGTCCTGGGCCCTGCGTGGACACTGCCCTGTCTGGAGTGTCCTGAGGCCGCAGCCCCACAGCCCTGTCCTGGGAGCTCCCGCAGCAGCCGCTGGAGGGCTCAGGAAGGGGACCCAGAGCCCTGGGTGGGGTTCTCATGCTCCTGAGGTCCCCATCCTGCCCCCTAGGCTTACCTGTGTGTCCCCCTCATTCTCTGGCACCTTTTACCACAGGAGGGAACCCAGGAAAACCCCAGAAATTGCCCCTTCAAGCAGAGGGACGGGCGGATAGAAATGAGCCATGAGACTGGCGTGGACCTGAAGGCTCTTCCCTGCACTGTCAATCATTCTTCCCTCAGAGTCCCTGCCCCTGTCTCATGAGACTCAAACCCAGTGGCCTGTGTGGTCGCTTCTCCACTGTTTTCTTCTGACAATATCCCGGGTTCCTCTGAGTGTCTTCTTCTTGGTCTCCACTTCCCTGGGTCAGACGTGTCCCTCCCGCGCCCTTTGTGCCTTCCTGTCTAGGACTGAGGAACTAACATCCTCCTGAGGGCGCCGGAGGAGGAGGAAAGGGCTCTTGTCCAGCTGTCTTCACCACGGGCCACCACCCAGGCTCCTCTGGGTGTCCCCTCTCTAGATCTTTCTTCCCAGACCTTCCCTCCCCAAAAAGGATGGTCCAGGGGCCTTGTGGGGCCGTGGCACGGCTGCCATGTGGGGCTGAGTGGACTCTGGTCCCAGCATTGAGGGAGGACCCCGCTGACTTCCTGTCCTCACTTCCAGCCTCTCTCCAGCCACTGTCATGCCCAGGGCCTTGGCTCCGAAGTCACTCTGGGTCGCCCTTCACAGAGCAAACACCCTTCCTCCAGGTCACCCTGTCCCTCCTGGCTGGGGTGGAAGCTGGAGACCTATGCCTTTGCCACCGACTCTGACTTCCCGATGGGGAGCAGGGCAAGCCTCATATCTGAAGTGCCATCCTCGCTCTGCAGTACCTACGGGTGGAACAGGGAGCTCTGGACACTGGTCAGGCCTGGGTGTGGCCATGGGGCATGCTGGACGCAGGGCATCTCTCCCGTACATCATTGGTGACCTTGTCTGTGAACATTGGAGCAGAACAGGTGAGAGCAATGGGGAGACCCATGTGGCATCATCAAGGCTGACCTGTGTTTCACCCACAGCCCTGACAACCACAGCGTCTAGCCCTCAGAGCTCCAGGGGCACCTGGGGTCCTCCCACGAAGCTGCCCGTGCACACCTGGCCCAGCCCGACCAGAGAGGACAGCCCTGATCCCAGCCCACGCCCTGGGTAAGTTGCCTGCGCAGAGGACTGGGTCATTTGGGTGGCCTCTCCACTGCGTGTAACGTCTAGGGGGCTTGGGTCTTCCTTCTTCCCATCGCTTCTTTGTCCACGCCTCCCACGCCTCATGTGAAGGTTCTGTTAACTGTCAGGTGCTCCTATTAGGATTGGGTCACAGCAGGGAACCGACAGCCACTGTCCTGCTCGGGTGGAAGTTGAGTCCTACCGGGTGGATTCACGCGTTGAACAAGCCAGCACGGAGGCTGATGTGCAAATACAGCGATGGGTGATGAGTGCAATGGATGAATGGAATGTTGGGTTTGGGGAGAGCGTGTGTGGGTGTTGGAGTCGCTATTTCACTGACAGTGATCAGAGGAGGATTTGAGGATTAGAGGACAAGAGCATGGAGACCCGAAGGGCTGGGGGCTGGGCACTCTGGGGTCTGGAGGAAGAAGGATTAAGGTGGAGGGAGGAGTGAGGCAAATGTCTTGCAAGGGAGTCTTGGGACCCGGCAAGGCCAGGGCAGGGAGTAGATGCTCTGAGGTCCGGTGGCCCCGGCCCTGTCCCCTGCCTCCCTCGCAGCGCTGGCCGGAGTCTCATCCTGTTTGATGAGCCCAATCCTCGAGGGTCTGACAGCTGAGCTGTCCATTCATTCCTTCAACAAGCACTGAAGTTGTAGGGCAGATTATTGGAGTCACATGGCAGGCAGGAGACTCACTGTGAAAGAAACAAATGGTCCCTGCCCTCCTGGAAACGCTGTGTACAGGAAAGCTGAAGTCACACAAATAATCTTTTGTGGGTTCTGGTACCCTAGCTGGGTAACCCTGCATGTGGGGCACAGAGGTAGAGAGCTGCCTCCAGACACAGACCCTGCCTGGGTGCCTGGCATGACCTCACGTCCTCTCACGCTCCTGCCCTTCTGGTGTCACAGTCCTCAGGTCAAGGGCACGTCTGAAGCTGAGGGTCAGGGGCCATGGTGCTGAAAGGGGATGGACTGTCCAGGGTGGGTCCTTATGTGGCTAGTTGTGGTCACAGGATCTGGACACAAGGGTCAGGGGATGGTAGAGGGCACCTGGGCCTCCCCTGGGGAGATGACTCACTGCCCGTCCCCGTGTCCCCACAGCTCCCTGCTCAGCAGCCCCCACTTCCTGCTCCTGGTCTTCCTGGAGCTGCCCCTGCTCCTGAGCATGCTGGGTGCCGTCCTTTGGGTGAACAGGCCTCAGAGAAGCTCGAGAAGCAGGTGGAGTCGGCCGGATGGTGAGAACCAGTAGCTTCAGCTGTCCATCAAGGCCCTGTGCTGCGACAGAGCCCGTCTGTGGGACTTGAATGACCTCCTGACCATCCCTCCCAGGCTGCTCTCCCCGCATCTCCTGGGATTCTCTGCGAGCCTCCTCCAGCCTTTTCCTTGTGCCTGATCTTCATGTGTCGCGCGTGAACCTGATGGACATGGATGCCCTAAGCTGTGACTCCACATCTCATGTGCACACCCCACCCAACTGAGCCTTGGGCTGTCACCAACACTTTTGAGTGCCCGGGTGCCCTCCTGGCTCCCTTCCATTTCTCCAGGACACTGGCATTGCTTCCTCCACCGTTTTCACAGGGAGAGGCAAGTCCCGGACTCCCCTGCACCTTCGCCACTGTAAGGGCCCACACTCCCTGGGTCCAGGAGTTCAGAATAAGTGGCTGCTTCCATTTGCTGAGTGTGTCGATTCAATGGTGCTGTCAAACGTTAAGAAATGACAACTTGTAGGTTTGGCCCACTAAGTCAGACCTGAGTGAAAACTCCTTTGTTCCCCCATCTCCACAGGCCCTTGCTGAGAATAGTGGACCAAGCACCATACTGGACTTCTCAGAATGGGGGTCCCTGCAGAACAGGATCCAGTATTCCCCCAAAACCTGACTATTCCCTCCTTCAGGTAGACACATCCTGACCAGTGTCTTTAAGTCCATTACGGGGGATGACTCGCTGCCTGTCACCGTGTTCCCACAGCTCCCCGCTCAGCAGCCCCCACTTCCTGCTCCTGCTAGAGCTGGTAGAAGATTCTCAGTGTGAATTGTGGTGGCGTAACCAGGCCTACCCTTTCTCCTTCTTCAAGGGGACCTGACCTCTCCTTCATTCCGGGGCTGTCGGTTTTAACTGGGGCAAATTTGGAAATGGATTGAGGGCTAGGACTCCTTGATGTGGTAGTTAACTGAGTCTCTTGCTCACTAGTGTAGACCACGTCTACCCCTACAGGCACCATGTCCAGAGTGTGATGAATGCTGGGAAAAGAAATTTGTTGGGTTTGGGGAGAGTGTGTGTGGGAGGGTGTTGGGGACATTATCTGGGACACTATGACAAGGGAAGTTCTCGCAGATCAGAGGACATGAACGTGGAGATCTGCAGGGTTGGGAGCCGGGTACTCTAGGGTCTGGAGGAAGAGGGTTCCAGGCAGAGGGGGGAGCGAGGCAAATATCCTGCAAGGAAGCCTGGGGACCCGGCCAGGCCAGGGCAGGGAGCAGCTGCTCTGGGCTTCAGTGGCCCCGGCCCTCTCTCCCTTGCAGTTCTGGCCAGAGTCTCATCCTGTTTGATGATCCCAGTCTTCTGAGGAGCTGAGAGCCGAGAGCTGAGCTGGTCCTCTGTTCACTTCTTCAACAACCATGAATTTTACAGGCTGACGTTTGCAGCCACAGAGCAGGTGCCAATTTCTCTGTGAAGAGGACAAGACAGGGCTCCTGCCTTAATGGGAAATACCGTAAGGAAAGGAGCAGGCATTCAACAGATATCCATCCAGTTTATTGCCTGCACCTCTGAAGGGTGTGCTTCTGCTCATGAAGGGTTTTCGTGGAGATTCTTGTGGATTCAGGTCCTACCAGGTCCCTGGGTGTCCCCTCACATTGCTGCCCTACCTCACCCCACAGCCCTGTCTGAAGGCAATTCTTAGGGTGATAATTAGAGGGCATTTGTCTTACGTGTCTGGCTGCTATGTCCAGGTTTGGTCTTTATGTGGATTTGTGTGGCCACAGTACCTTGGCACTAGGAATAGGGGAAAGGTGGAGGGCACCAGGGCCTCCCCTGGGGAGGTGACTCACTGCCTGTCACTGTGTCCCCACAGGTCCCTGCTCAGCAGCCTCCATGTCCTGCTCCTGATCCTCCTGGAGCTACCTCTGCTCCTGAGCATGCTGGGGGCTGTCCTGTGGGTGAACAGGCCTCAGAGAAACTCAGTGGGGAGGCAGAGTCAGCTGGGTTGTGAGAAACAGTAACTCCAATGCCCATCAATGCCCTGCCAGGTAACACAGTCCCTCTTATGTATGGGAATGGCCTTCTGACCAATGCATCCATGTTTCTAGCAGAAGATTTGGAGGCTTTTTTTTGATAATGCATCAGACACACAAAAGAATACATGCACTTTAAACCAGGAATACTCTTTAATACGTGTGTGTCCACCATCCAGTTTAATAACATAACATCATTAATATTCATGAAGCCTCAAACCCCTTTCTGGTCTTATGCAACTTATTTTCTACTCTTCTCAGAAAACCACGTCCTACATTTTATTTGATTTTATTTTTTATACAGATGGGTCTCCCTATGTTGCCCGGGCTGGATTTGAACTCCTGGGCTCAAGCGATTGTCCTGTCTCAGCCTCTGGAGCCCCTGGGACTATAGGCATGCACCACTACAAACCGGCTCACATTCCAAATTTTATGTTCATCATCTTGTTTTAAGGGATTTGCCACATACATGCATATGGATTTCCAAAGGGTATATTATTTAGCTTTGTTTATTTTTGAACTTTATGTAAAAAGTATTATGCATTTTTATTCCTAAGCAATTGAATTTTATTATTCAACACTTTATTTTTGAGATTCATCCATGTTGATGTGTTGATGCATCAATGTGTCACTTCTTTGCATTGATCTACATTCTGTCGTTGTGTGAATATCCCGTAACTCTTGCATCCATCTTTCTTGAATGAGCATTCAGGTTGTTTCTTTTCTTTCTCTTTCTCTTTTTTATGCGCTTCTTGTTTTCTTCCTCCTCATCTTTCTCCATCCTTTGTTGTCTTCTCCTTCCTCTTCCTCCTCCTCTTCTCCTTCCTCTTTCTCCTCCTTTCTTCCTCTTTTTCCTGCCTACTTCTCCCCTCCTCCCCCTTTCTTCTTTTTTCTTTTCCTCTTCTTTCTTTCTTTTCCTCTTCTTTTTTTGTTGCTATTACTTATAACATTATTATGAACATTTTTGAACACATATCCTAATTTATCTGTCCAAAAGAGTCTTCTAGAGTATAGTTCTAAGGGAATAATTGCTAGGTTTTGCTGCATGTGTGTAACAGCTCTACTAGGCAATTGCAAATTGTTTTCCAAAGTACCTGCACCAATTTCCACTCCTCATCAGCAGTGCTACTGCTCAAATCTTATCAGACTTCCTAAATTTCTTCAAGTTAATGAGTATGAAATGGTATCTCATTGTTTTAATTTGAATTTCTCTGCTTACTAATATTAAACTTGTTCTCATGTGTTTTTTTGGTTACTTGAATTTTCTTTTTTGTGAAATACCTGTTCTCATCTTCATCTACTTTCTGTTGATTGTCTGTGTTCTTCTTATGGATTTGGAGAAGTTCTTTGCAAGCCTCTTGTTAGTTACCTGTGCTCCACATATCCTTTCCTAGTTTATTAACTTTATGATATCTTTTGAGAAACAGGGTTTTCACTTTAGTGTAGAAATTATTTATTTCTCTTAATGGTTTATACTTTTCATCTTGTTTAACAAATTATGAATACTCCCAAATTTTTAAAAACTCTCCTATATTTTCTTCTAAAATTTTAAAAATATTCCCTTTCATAGGTAAATCCTTGACCCATTTTTAAATGATTTTTGTTTCTAGGCTGAGATAATAATCCATTTTTCTGTCTTCCATTTGGATAAACATTATCCCGTTTTCTCATTTCTGCAGTGCAATACCTGGCATGTATTTATTTCTATATATGCTTGGATCTTTTTCTAACCACTCTATTATGTTGAATTTGCCTAATTGCTTATTTTGGAACTAACACATTGTTTTAACTACTATAGCTGTGTTAAAATGTCTTGGTATCTGGTAAGGCATGTCACTATACATCGTTCTTTGATATTGGGAATGGCTTTGCAAATATTGGCCGTTTCCTCTTCTACAGATATTTTAGAATTAACTGGTCAACATTCTAAAAAAGAAAAAAAAAACTCTGTTGAGACTTTAAATGTAAACGTATGAAATTTACCTTTATAATAATTGCCCTATCTATGAACATGGTATGTAATTCTAATTATTTGAGCTTTTAAAATTTCTTTTAATAACATTCTATTATTTTCTACTTAAAATTTGCTCATATGTTTGTTAAATTTAATTCTGGGCATTTATGTTTCTATTCTCATTTTATGGTATCTTTTATTGCATTTTCAAGTTATTCGTTGCATGCATGTAGATAAACAATTGATCTTTACTGATTGTGTATATTTAACAACTCTGCCAAAAATCTTAGTAATTGTTTTCAGTTTTACATGTAGATAATAAATTCATTTACAATAACTTGGAGGTTTGTTTCTTTCTTTCTAATTCTCATATCATTTCTCTTTCTTGTTGTATTGTGCAGGCTAATCCAAGTGTCGAATCAAAGCAGTGATTTTGAGCAACTTGTCCTCTTCCTGATTTATAGGAAAGATTTTGCTATGGGTTGTAAATAGTTGCTTATGGGCACCTTTTCATTCCTAGTTTATAATAAAAAGTAAAGGATTTTAGATAGTGCTTTTTGTGCATCTGTATGATTATGTAGTTTCTCTCCTTTATTCTATTAATGTGATTGACTACATTAATTCTTTTAGATGAGCCTCATTCTGTCACCTAGGTTGGAAGTGCCATGAAGACAACCTGTTCCCCATCTAGAAAGAGAAGTGAGAATAAAAGTGTTCTTTTAGTATCCTTTTCTGCATGTGATCCAGGATGGAGAAGAAAACAGTAGGGGGCGTTCCCCCAACTATTTTCTTTCCCTGGTTCCTGGATCCTGGCACCCATTGAAATGTGCTGCCCATTTTCTTTCCCTGGTTCCTGGATCCTGGCACCCATTGAAATGTGCTGCCCATGACTGCAGGCATGACCCTCCAAGCCACGGCACCAGGGAAACTAGACTTTTGGGTCTAGTTACGCTTCCTCAAGCAGCCTTCGTCTTTTGCCTTTTATTTCCCTCTGACCTCCTAGACTGTGTGACCTGTGTGCCTCCCTTCTAAAAATGGATTTTAAGAAAAACTACATAATTGGGCAAGACCTCTTTAAGGGAGGAAGAGTGCTAGATTGAACTTTATATCTTGCTATTATGGCTAAAGCATTTACCCTTAGAAAAGTGGTTCTGGTTAACTTCTGGACTCCAAAATCCCCTTACTAATTAAGTACCATCTTAATCGGAGACAGAATAGGTGCCTTAAAGGAACATAGGAACCAGATGGCCATTTTCCTGCCAATGGGACGATACTGAGACTAAAATTTGGTTACAGGAGATATCTTACTCCTAACTGCTAAAGGCAGAACTTTCCCATTTCCAGAAGAGGCCTAGAGCCTGATTTCTAATGGTGCAAAAGGAAGCTGTAGTGTTACCATGAAAAATACATACATATATATATATATATATATATATACAAGAAAAATATATATATATATATATATATATATGCCTTCTGTAGAGGATTTCTATTTCTACTAGGTGGCACTGTTGGCTTAGAAATACTATGTACTCACCAGAGAAGTGGTAGTGAGTAACCTCACTGTAGGGGAAAGAGAACTCTGTTCCTAGAAGTTTGTAATGGCGTCTTCTCCTGACTTTGCCTAACAGGATTACTTTCCTAGGCTGTAAAAACTGCTGCACATTTCACACAGAGAAAGAGTTAAGAGACTGCAGATAGAGAAGGAAGAAGAGTTTTGTGACAGGACGGTTGAGGATTCTTTGCCAACACGCAGAATGGGCCGTCGGAGGCTGGGACCGGTCCAGAGGCCTTTGAATCATGCCAGGGTGTGTCCTGGCCAGAAATTCTTAGTCGTCTTAGAACTTTTCTCAGCCTTGCACAATGGCGAGGTCTTCCGTGAAAAGAAGCTGATTTGAAACATGGCCAACCTTCCTAATGACCTGGTGGCACTGTGGGGGCGGGGGGGGTCTCCATGTTCTCACCAGCAAGCCTCACATTTGAGTCTTTATGATGGCAGCCAGCACTAAGTGTATGTACCCGGCTGATGGATGCCCATTGATTTATTTTATTTTATTTTAAAATAGAGGCTAAGAGTGCCTCAAAAATGATGGCACAGATTTTAAGCTTACCCCTATACTTACCACTTCAATCTATGCTTTGGGTTCTTGCCCAGTGCACCAAAATGATATGGCTCCAGTGACTGGAGGGACACCTTGGTCTCGCACCAGTTTGAATAAAACAACATTGACACATGTGGAGTGGTTTTAAGGAGCAGAGAATTTAATAGACAAGAAAGAAAGAAGAGGCTCCCCCTGTACAGAGACAGGGTTGGGGGTTCCAAGCTGATAGAGGGAACCTTGAGTGTGGCAGAAAACAGCCAGTTATATGAGGAGGCTGGAGGAAGTGGTATCTGATTTGCACAGGGCCCAGGGGATTGGTTTGACCGGATGTCATTCAAGTACTCCACGAAAAAACTAGCCCTCCTACCCTAGCCTTTTAATATGCAAATGCAGGTGCCATGCGGTTCTAAACACATGAGGATATGTGGGGGCAGCCCTGTTGCCAGGCACATGTGGGGTCAGGAAGAAGACGGTGGCAGTGTCCATGTTTGTTTGGACCAAGGCCTGCATTTGCACATCAAAGCTTGCCTGCCCAGCTCTAAGAGCCAGGGCTTTTCTGCTAGACAAGAAAAGTTTCCAAAGCTGTTTTAAAAGAAAAAAAAAACTTCCCAAGGACCCCTTTTCCCCTCTATCTGCCTAAAATAATTTCTTTTTTTTTCATTACCTCCAATAATGGCTATAAGCAAGCCTAAAATAATTTCTTAATAACTCCTATAATAACAACAAACATTATGAGCCCAGTTAATAGATGCAATAACTGAGCACAGAGATGTTGTGTTGTCCACAGTCATGCAGCTTGCAGGTGGTGCCCGTGGGTTTAGAGCTAGCTCTATCTGACCCAGCAGTCTGCACGTTTATGCTCTCAGCCATAACACCTGAACAAATGCATCTTCTGGTGTGCCCAGCATGGCTCACCTGACATCTGAGTTGGGTGTTCCCTGCTCTTGGGAGAGTGTTACGCCCCTGGGACCCAAGGCCTGCTAGGCCAGATGCCGCGCACCCCACTCCTTCTGCAGACATATCTCCCCCTCCCCTCCTCACCCTGCACAGTCCCCTCCCCCGTCTTTTTCACATAGTGACAATGCTCAGGCCCTGTGGCCCAGCCCTGCCAAAAAATGACACCTCTTTCGTTGAATAATTAAAAGGAGGAAATGCCCACTCTATAAAAGGAAGTGAATGAGTAAGAAAGTCAAAGGCGGTCTACATGTGCACAGGGTGCAAGCCTGGGCCGAGGCAGAGCTTCCAGAGTGCAGCTGGGATCTGTGTTTGCCACTGATGCAGATCAGGTGATGAAGAGCCGGGAAGGTAGAGCCATGTGGCTTTCCCCAGCTCTGCTCCTTCTCAGCTTCTCAGGTGAGTGGGGCTGGGACCTCGGGCACTTGGTAAGACAGGGGCAGAGCAGGAGGCAGAGGGCATTTATCCTTCCACATCCAGGAAATCAGAGGTGGCTTTGTGAAGTCATTCAACTGGGACACTGGGGACTGACATCAGTGCCTTGGGCCCTGAGAACATCAAGGGAAAAGAGTAGAACCGGCTGGTAAG